TTGAGTATGAACATATGGGGTTAGTTATGGGGTTTTATATTTAACCATAGCTTCTATTGGGAGTACAGGACGTTGTATTTTCCTTTATTTATTTTATGCGCAGGACGTCCAATCACTTTCATGTGGCATTTTCCTACCCGGTTAGCTCCCGGTGGAATTTACCTAAATTTATTTGAGTCAGGGATTTGGTGGGAAACCCGTTCGATGCGTAATCAAGTTAAATAAGCAATTTATTCATTTATTCATTGGTTGGTTGTGTTGTATGCTTGTAAACAGGTGCAACAAGGTAAGTTGTATGTTGATAGGGTAAAAGCATGTTAGTGTGTACTGTTTATATTTATGTACTCAACTTTTGCTAATTGTGTGTTTTTATGTTTGTTTGGCCTTGTCTTTATCTTGGCCCTACGACGACCCATTTCTAATGGCGAGTAGTGGGGATAAAGTAAAGGGAAGCTTTTCAGGTGATGAAGCATATTCATGATGGGCATGAGTGAAGAGCGATTCCTGTTTAGTTTCCATAAGAATATGATGTGTTTATTCGCTTTGATTATTATATATTTTCTTGTGAGACTAACACAAAGGTTTTAACATTCGTTTTGGGTTTTGATAAGGGCCTACAATGGTTCCAAGTTGTAGGTTGACTTCGTTTGACTTTGGTTTGACTTTACTTTCGTTTGGTTTGACTTTTTAAGTTAACTTGTTTTGAATGGTTTTAAAGTGAGTTTTCCGCTGTGTGTCTTTGATAATTGCCTTAGCCATTTTCACGGTGGCGGTAATGTCTTAGAATTTCCTATATCGTATTTTAAAAAAAAGAGCAAAACAGGTATTTTAAAGAAAAGGAATATCTAGGTGTTACAAAATTGCTTCCAATGTTAATGATGATTTTATTATTGTACTGATCACCCTATTGCATGTTAAAGGGAATATGTAGTTGATGAATATAACGATTAATAAGATAATTTGGACGACCGGTTTAGGTTCCTTTTTAATCTTGTTGTTTAATCAAGTGATCACGATATTTAGAATTATATGTTGCATTAATATTCAACCAATTTAGCCTAAGTTATTTTGGAACAAATTGAATCTTTGTTTGTATGCCTTTGCCGGAATTACTTTTCACTATAAGAATCGAGTAGAGGCCAATACGGGCGAATGTGACTCCATGACTCACTTCGTACCATCATCCCCGATCCTCCTTTCGTGGTTCCAAACCATATGGAGTTAGTAATCTCATGGATTATGAATGGGGTGTAACCTTCACGGGTCAATCGTTGTTGCCTATCATTGTCCCTTTTTGTGGTTGCCTTTTAATGATCTGTGAATGGTTTACAAGTTCCTTAAAAACTTGTTGGCGGCTCTCTACTTTCCTTGTCCCTAACTGTATAATGTCAATTCCTACTTCCCATGATTGCCAAGCATATTCACAACATGCTTAGGTAGGCGCGCTTCGAATGACGCCTAAAGTACATATTTAGCCTTAACCTTTAAGAGCATACATAATTCGAAACTACTATGTTTTGAAACGCTCTACTTTTGTAATATTCTGATTTTATATATAATGAAAATGAATTTAATATTTAATGCTTTATATTATCTTTATTGGCATTTGAATATACGCAATACTTCTTTATTTAACAAGACAAGTCATAATTTGTTTGGTTTCAAACGCCATCAACCATCCAAATTAGGGGGGCATTTGTTACACCCAAAATAAAAAAAAATTTACTTTTCTTGAATTTGACCTGTTGACCAAGGGAAATTGACTTTAGAATTCTGCTAAAGACCTTAGTCTAACGATGGAAGTAAAGTTAAATGGGCTAAACCCAGTCAAAGGCCCAGGAAGATGAATAAACCAGCATTGGGGCAAACAAGGCATTTTGATTTGAAAAGGAGAGTTGACGCTAAGAAAGATAACCGCTCAACAGTTATGGGAGTCAGTGGAAAACTGCTCTAAGTTTGCCTATAAACAAAAGTGAAGAAACTAGAGAATGACATCAGCAAATCAATCAACAACAATCATTTCATTTTCTTTAAGCTTTCTTTTTATCTTCCTTAGCTTTCCCTTAGCTTAGTAGCCAAGCTATAGTTTAGTTTCTTAGCATGAATTGAAGATCAATCGTCCTTTCCAATTGTATGAACATGGAGATAACGCAATTGTAGACCTGACTTTATCATTCAATTAATGGAGGGAATCTGCATCTTTTGTCATTTGTTTATCTACTCGTTTCTTTAGCAATCTAACTTGTTTGATTTCTTTGGGAAAAACTTCTTTATTGTTTGTTTTGTTACGTTAGCGAGGTTATCAATCTTTTGAAACCAGTAACAAGAGGGGCAGCCTCTTAATACTCTAATACAAGATATGGTATTTGACTTGTTGGCAAAGAATAATATTTGCCTCAGCATCTCCTAAAGGGTGACGGTCGCGGGGACATCATTTATCTATGGCTAGTGCAGCAGATTAAACTACTAGGGTCGACTTTTCAACATCATAGTATATATAAGGCGGATAGGCAGCGTGTTCATCGGGCTCACAAAATTGCAGGAGGTTTTGCAGTCCATTTAATTTGCTTTAATGTAATGTGTAGTGCTGAGTATTAGTGTTGTTTCGCCTTTTCAACCTTTGTCAAAAAAAAAAAATATGATGCTCTAATATGATTTATTATGGTTTGGAATGTTATGAATATATTTGCATTGGTTTGACTTGATGTATAAACTAGACGAAACCCGATGCATGGTTTTTCCAGAACTGAATTATTTTGTTGATGAAAACTTATTTTACCAATTCTCTATTATATTTGATTAGTTGTTGATTTTAACTGATTTAAAATTATTTTTCATAATTGAAATATTTTAGCTGAATTGAACTTATTTTTTACTTACCGAAATAAATAACATAAATTATTTTTACAAAATATCATTATTATTTTAAGGTAAAGACAACATGGTCTAAATTACTTTTTAAAACAATTTTTATGATATATAAAGGGAAAAATTGTCATGATTAATCGCAACTTTGCCTCATCCGCCAATATGAATCCCAATTTTGGATTATTTTTTATTAATCCAAACTTTATTCCCCGTCCGCCAATAACACTCCCAGCCGATCATCCAACCTAATATTATAGGCTATAAGACACATGTCAGCGTATGATTGGCTTAAATTAATTAAAAAAAAACACAAAAAACCCATAACCACCAAGGCTAGCCCCCTCCCACAGCTGCCAACCCCGCCCAACCCCTTCCCCACGGAGCGTCGGCCACCGCCCAGACTCCTTCCCCTCCCGCGGTGCCGGCGCTGCCCCAACCACCTCCCCTTTCCCCTTCGATCACCATGAAATCCAGCAAAATCCCCCAATCCCAAACCCTAACCCTAACCTTCAATCTCCGACAACGGAAGGCTAGAGCGGAGAGAGAGAGAGAGATAAAAGGAAAAGGATGGCTAGGGCAGTGGTAAGAGGAGGTGTGACTAGATGTTTCCGGCGGTCGGGGAGGTAATTTAAGGGCTTTTAGAGGGGAGGGGGAGGGGTTATGGGAGGTTTTAAGGGGAAAGGGGAGGGTGGTTGGGGCACGCCGGCACCGGGGAGGGGAAGGGGGTCTGGGTGGCGACCGACGCTCTTGGGGGAAGGGGTTGGGCGGGACTGGTAGCGGGCTGGTCGTGGGTCACCGTGGCAAGGGGTTGGCCTTGGTGGTTTTGGGTTTTTTTGTTTTTTTGTTTTTTTTTTTAATATTTAATTTTTATTTGTTTTTACCAATCACATGCTGACACATGTGTATAATTAACTTTTAAAAAAAATTTACCTCCTCAACAGGTAATCAGTCACCTAGGAGTGTTATGAGCGGAAGGAGTATAAAGTTCAGATTAATAAAAAATAATCTAAAGTTGGGATTAATATTGACAGATGTGGCAAAGTTGGGATTAATCATGGCAAACTTTCCTATGTAAAAACCAAAAATAAAAATTTGAAAACTATTATTTATTTTATACATATGAGATATCGAATGCAAATTTTTATATGTGGTTGGCCATACCGTATGGCCGGGGTTACTTATTTAGGGGTTACTTATTCAGGGGTTATTCAGTCGGCCAAGGGTTCATCGATCAGGGGTTACTCGGTCGGTCAGGGGTTACTCAGTCCAGGATTACCCGTTAAGTGTTTTGGTGTGTGTCAGCCGGCCACACAGAAAACGCGCTAACCGACAGAGTAACCCCGGAATAAGTAATTCCTGACCGATTGAGAAACCCCTTGAATAAGTGACCTCGGTCACACAGTGTGGCCAGCCACATAGAAAACGCACTGAATATTGAAAGTAAAAATAAAACTCTAAAATAATTTTTTTATCTATTCAAATTTTGCTTATTTAGCATCAAACGTGTTATATTAATTTTTCTTTGCCTATAATAATATTAATCTTGAGGTAATAGTAGTATTACCATAAGGATTATTTTATACGAGTAGTATTTTCAAAAGTAACATTCTTATTAAATTGTACGAGTAATATTTTTTAGAACAAAGTTAACAACCATCCATAAGACCATAAGGAAGATCATGGAATTGAGGGACGATTTGTCCCTCCATCTCCTACAGGAGTGACCTGGGTTCGATCCTCACCCCACCCCTCCTGTGATAGGAGGGGCACCCCCCGTATATTACCGTGTAAAAAAAAAAAAAAAAGGGTAGACTAAAGTACTTTAAAACCAAATTCTGCCGTGACCAAGGCATTGATTCTGTTATCATGACATTGTGACCGTTACCGCACATCCGCAATCGTGACCAAAACCGCATTTTTATCTCATGAGTTAGGGTTCTACTATCTCTCAAATTCAATTTAAGTTCATTCCACGATCTTCTACTTTGCATGGCATCTACTTTTTCAAACAAACTCGTCTCATTTTACATCTACAGTCAAAAAACAATTGATAATACAACAATTTATCATCTCGAACTAGTCATAAAAATAAATAAAAAATAAAAAGAAAACAAAAAATTATCATCAAGAACTATGTGTCATAACCAGTGTCAAAACTAATTTGGAATGAAGTGTCTTGTAAACATACATGGTCCGCCTTCCTAATTGATTTTTTCTTGTCACCTGAGTCAGGAGTAACTTCTGAGATCAGAGTAGAGGAGACATCATCATCATATGAAGTTAAGAACAGCAAGGTTAACAATGCTGAACCATACATCTCCCAGAATTTTTTTTTTTCTGTATTTTTACATAAATATACCAGAAACCAAGTACTATAACCTGACAGATACTAATCTCTTTTTACTAACATGTAAAAAATAAAAAAATAAAAAACAAATTGGAGGGGGGTGGAGAAAAAAATAATACATCAGCAGCGGAAATATTTCCGCGTTACAAGGAACAGATCAGCAATCAGATGAGTAAAAATTTGTTCCCAGAGTCTATAATTTACCCAGACATCAGCAAAGGAAACATTTCCACACGGGGCGAACAGCTACCATATTTGCGAACCCATAACTTGGAGCGAACCAAACATCCCCTAAGAGAAGTGCCACAAGAAACCTGTTAAGATCATTTAAGGACTGCATTTCGGCACACTAAACACTGCAACAACCAAAAAGAATCACTACTAGATCTGCAGAACCACTGGCATGTAAGTAAGTGGCTCAGAAAGAGAGTTCCTAGGCTTAATACTATATCAATTATTCAGCAGATTTTGAAGTGTGTCTTATACAAACAAGATCATCCAACTTGTTACCATCCACCTTATACAAGGAAACTCCTTCCATTTGCTGGTAGTATTCTTGTGCTTCCTTTCTAAGGCTCTCAAAAGGCATCAATTCCCACTTACTGTAGTTAGAGTTCTTTCTGACTTCACTCATGTCTGGAGAACCAGAGACTGGGCCGTTGTAATCAGCCCCTTTCTCACCCCAGAACTTGCAATTTCTGAACTGCCCCTCGTCACCAACCTGACCTGTCTCACTCTGCTTTAAACGTATAGCTGCAGTGTGAGCTCTCTTTATTGCATCTCGACTTGGTATACTTGACCAGTCCTCCTCCCTCTGAGCTCTCATTGGTGAATGTATTCTTATCACCTGTATCATACAAAATGCTGTCTGTTATCTAAGCCCTACTTAGACAAGAGAGACACTATTGATAGCCCAGAAAAGCAAGGATGGTAGAAAAGAAAAAAACAATTCATACCCCCAGGCACTCGAGTAGCTGATAGTACGCCCTTCCTTGAAGTGGGTTGTGACCTTTTCTTGGTTCCGAGAAATATCTAGTCCTACAGGAATCACAGGATAATATCAGTAGTTTATAGAAATTGCAATTTGTTACAATTTGGAAGATATTATCCCTAAAATCATATTGGGATGATAAGTCTTAAACTCCATGTAGACTAAGATTTGAATATTTCTATACAGATACTCTCTGTTTTATTTAAGTGCCCCAGTTTGATTGGACACATGCCAATGCAGAAATATCTTTAATAATCAATTAATATAATTAGTAGAAAGTTGATATAAAGAACTATTGGTTGAGACGATTCCAACAAGCAGACACATGACTATATTTTATCTTATGTATGAATTACTAACATTGATCAAAGTGAAATATGTGAATAGTGCAAAAAGTCATAATGGGGCTTTTAAATAAAAACGGAGGGAGTATCACTTATTAATGAATTAAGATTGAATAGATTAATACACTCAAGCAAACAATATAACTCCCTACAACGGCGCACAATGCGTATCCAAATAAACAATTCCCAAATCTCAAGATTAAATCATCAAGATGAACAGTACATGAAAAGCATAATAAGCATTCCCAAAACATAAACACCCCCAATGTTGGCAAGATTGTAGTTGATACTTTCAAAAGTTAATTGAACTAACTGAGATACATATCAAATATCTTACAGCCAAACTATCTCAAGCTCATTTAAATTCTACCTTCAGATAGTTCCACTCAAAGCCTACATCAAGGAACCACAAAAATGACGAAGAAAAGTTCTCACCAGCTTCCACCAGAATGTGAAAAGGCGTCGCAATAAAGTAATAAACTAAGTGATACTTGTACATAGCTAAATGAGATCAAAGACACCACCATAATAGGCTAACTCCATATTGCGGACTAAATGAAACAAAAGGGAATAAAATTGTTGCTAACTAGTCTAAAGTATCAATATTCTTAGCCAAATTACAAATATATGAATCCAGTAACTCTGATCAGGTCCAAACAGCCACCCAAAAAAAAAAAAAAAAAAAAAAAAAAAAAAAAAAAAAAAAAAAGAGGTAGTTTATTCTATCACTACATCTATATATATATATATATCCCAAAATGCTAAAAGTTTGAAAAAACTGCTTTCTTAAGTTTGTTTCTAGAGTTGAACTGCCACAGAAGGCATAGTCAAAAGCAGAGACATATCATACCAGCAACAGAGACAGGAAAATTTTTAAATAAAAGAAAGTAATGTAATAAGAAACATCCATCCTTCAAAAGTCGCAGTTAAGCAGTTGGTTGTGTGGGAACTCTAATTTTAAGTTGTTGCATCTTAAAAGTTATGAACTCTGATTAATCATCTCCTCCTCTCTAGTTCCCTTCATTGCCTTCTTTCAGAACTTTAACAAGTCACAAACAAATATTTGATGTGTGGGACCTCTACATTAAGTTGTTGCATCTAAAAGTTTTCTTACTGGGATTAAGCACCATCTATGTCCTTCATTTCCTTCTCCAGAGTTCTAAGCTTATAAAATAGTTTTCCTCCACACAAGTAGACTTGGAACCTTTGCAGTCATAAGATAATCATCTAGTGCCACATAAATGCGACTTTAATCTGCCATCTCACTTTACTTCACATGTTCAGTAATGTTCATATTAAAGTTTATCTCTTCCCAGAATCATCCCCCACCTCAAAATTATTTCCATCATTCAAATGCTATACCATTCAAATTTTCCATTTAATGTAATTTTTAATACCGCTTAAACTGAATTTCACCATCTCAAGTCCAAAGCCCCTATAAACAAAATCAACATAACATTTTAATTACCTCCTCAAATAATACAATCACATTGTTAGGAATGGGAAGGTAAGAAAGACAGACAAACCCACTAACAAGTACCCTGAATTATCTTTCCTCCTTAATCCCCCATTCCTTACAAGCAGTTCAAAGAAGATGACTTCGACGGAAAGATCAGTTTCAGCATTTAGAGAGTTCAGATGAAGGTCCAGGCGCTTCAAGAAACTATAGCTCAAAGTTTATGGCAGAAGGTACTCCAATCCAAACTCATTTTAACGAGTTTTAATATTTTTCTTATTGATTTGGAAAATTTAGATTCCAAAATTGATGATGTAGATAAAAATAATATTTATTTATTGTCTCACTAAGTGAATTTTGTTAGCAATTCGGAAATCATGCTATATGGCAAAAGCGTAACTTTGTTGCATGAAGATGTTAAGCCTAATCTCCTGTAAAAGGACAATTTTTGAAAATGGGACAAACCTAGTGAAGGTCAAGGTTTGTATATTAGAGATTGGTTGTTGTAAGACAAGTACCAATAATCGGTCCATATCAATTATCAAAGGAACATAAATCCAACAGTTTCTGCAAATTATACAAGATAAATGGGCACAATGTTTTTGATTGCTTAAAGTTTGAAAAAGTTCGGTTGAGAAGAAAAAGAAAAGAAAAACAAAGACAACAGCAGAAGACAATTTTGGTGGGGTAAAAATATAAAATCTTATTATGTTCTTTTGCTAAAAGTTCGGTTGAGAAGAAAATGAAAAGAAAAACAAAGAAAACAACATAAGCCAATTTTGGAGCAATGGAAGCAAAGGTTGGAATCTAGAAGGTTTAAGCTAAGTCGGAGTAAGACTGAATATTTGGTATGCCGCTTTGGTACACAGAGGGGGACAAGCGATGATGTAGTGAGCTTGGATGGAAAGGACTTGACCATGAGTGAATGTTTTAAATATTTTGGATCGATCATCCAGAAAAATAGTGACATTGATCAAGACGTGGCCCACATGATTAAGTTGGAGTGGCTTAAGTGGAGAGCCGCCACGAGAGTATTATGTGACCGAAGCACTCCCTTACAGTTGAAGGAGAAATTCTACAGGACTGTCATAAGACCATTGCTCTATGGTACAAAATGTTGGGCTTCTAAGAAGGAACACATTAAAAAGATGGAGGTTACTGAAATGCGCATGTTAAGATGGATGTGCAGGAACACTCTAAGAGATAGAATAAGAAATGAGGTTATTCGCAAGAAAGTGGGGGTGGCCGGCATTGGAGACAAATTAAGGGAAAATCGTCGCTGGTTCAGGCATGTAAGACAAAGACCCGAGGTGCACTGATGCGAAAAGTGGAAAAGTGGGACCATGGAAAGGATAAACGAGAGAGAGGTAAACTGAAAATGACTTAGTTGGAAGGAGTTAAGGAAGGATATGAAGTATATGGATTTGCATAAGAATGATGCATTTGATCGTAAGGGATAAAGGAGGAAGTTTTTTGTGGATGACTATACAGAATAATCACTTTTGGTTCATGTAGCCGACCCCTCTTATGGGATTAAGGCTTTGATTGATTGATTGATATATGTTCTTTTGAGAACCAAACCCAGAAGAAATAGCACTACTAAGTGGGTGCTTGATTTTGGTTGTGTACCTATTTGTTCTCAAAAGGACCACTTTGTCAATTAACATTCACCGAAGAATAGATCCCTTTCTATGGATACCGAGCAATGGTTCCCATTGCAAAGTTCATGGAATTGGCTCAATTTGGATCAAGACATATGGTTAAATTAGGACCTCTACTAAGGTTCAGCCGTTCAGCTTTGGCGTCTTTCTAAACCTTAGATCTTTGGGTGCTCTTGATTCTAAAGGGTGAAATATCTAAAATCAAGGGAGCACTTATTGCCTCCAACTCTCCAAGGGTTCTCATCAACTTACAAAGGCCATTAGACTTAACAATCACTATCTCATGCAAGGCTCTTCAATTCTGGAAACATCATACTCAACCTTAGTTTGGCATCAACGCCCTCGGGTTCTAGTACATCACTTTTTTTCCTTTAGCCTCGAGTTCCAATCAAATTTAACAAGTGACATATCACATATCTAAATATTACCCTTAGAGGTTTATACAAAGAGAGACATGAAATTTGGTGGAGATTGTTGGGTGTGGCCCAAAGTTCGTGGTCCATTTTAAACTTCTACATTTTTGTAGTGAGCTTGGTAGACTCACATGATTTGCTGCTTTAAATTATGTGTATTCATGCAGTGTTAAAGGCATAGGGAATTCCCTAAATTTGACGAACTAGCTAGACAAGCTCCTAGACAGTTCAAGTTCTTGCAAAAAATTTGGAAACATTTGATGCGTAGATGATTCTACACAAAGCTAAGTGTATGCTTGCCAACTTAAATCCATCGACATCAAAGCCCTACAAATATAGAGGTTGTGCAACATATTTTATTCAACAAGCCCCACAAAATTGTGAATGTTCTTCTACATACACCCGATCTCCATATTCCAAAATTCTACTTGAATACTCCTTGGTAAGTTTATTTCTATAAAAGCGTTCACAACCATAAATTAAAATGCTGCTTACCAGTAGATATTTGGGTAAAAAGAATATTCATGAACTCACTCATGTACTAATCTATTTCACTTCATAGAAATACCGGAGATGTTCATGAGGTGAGCTAGTTTATGTCTCAGTTCACGCAAAGTGGGACCCATATTTGCAATAGCATTATATTTCTGAAAGCTGATATCTACAAAATTAATATTTAAAAACAAAAATTAACCAACCGTCATAATATTAAGTAGGAAAGAAAATGTAGGAGAAAGAAAATATGATTGGGAATGGTGAAAGAATTATGAGAGGGATGAGTAACTTTGTATTACGTTCATGAGTGGGATGAAGTTTGGTGCAAAAAGTTCTTACCATAAATAAAGTTATGTGGAGGAGAGAGGGGAGAGCAAAAGAACTCACGGAGATGCATACTCCAGGCATATTTTATGTTTGTGAGAATGGTTCTCACCTGTTACTAAGAAACTCACATCGCTTTCAAAGCCAGACGAATCGGTTCAATGATCAATACCTCATTTTTTAGCAAATTTGAACGGTAAATCATAATAATTGCAAGCACTACATGTTTGAGCCCCTAGCAAACCGGCTTCTCCACAAACTATCTCCTTAAAAAAGGATGTTCTTGCTACTAATTCCTTTGTGATAGAAAATTAGAACGACCTTTAATGCCTTTAAAGTCCCCATTCCAAACACCATACCCTCATACTAAAAAAATACAACCATTTAACTTTGATAAGTTCCCTCTCCATCTCACTTGCTACCCTCTTCATTTTGGCGAAAGGATGTAAGTATTTACTGCTACATAAGTGCAATATCATAGACTGATCAACGTTTAAAACAACATAATTAGTTGAAAAACTCACCATTCCTTATACCCAGGGTCAACAGTAAAACCATATATGTCAACGATATCACACATTGAAAGCGCAAGCTCTACAGATTTCATCCCTGTCCCTTTGGCTCCTCTCCGCAGCACAATTCCTTGGAACAAGTAAACTGGATTTGCAATACTCTGCCACCCAAAGAATTAACATGAAAATTCAAATAGATTTTGTGAACCAGTAAATAAAGAACATCTCAATATGACAAAGGTAAAAAGTATTTTCATATCTGTTGAAACACCTAAATTGACCAGATAACACCACAGAAGACGTCCCCATGTCCCTTATCATAATTCAAAAACACAATCTAAGAGAAGAAGGAACAGGAAATTCAGTTATTGATAAAAAAAACTAGAGTGTTTACAGACCTCTCACCACCCTAGGACAACTGAACAAAAAGGGAGGAAAAAGAGAACGAGATAGGACCATGCATAAATTGCCTAAAAGAAGATAAAAAGATGCTCATTTCTGATTCCAATTTTCTAATTGATGAGTGTCAAACACTAAGTACTCAAAAGCAACATGATATTCATAAAAACCCATAATAAGTAAAAGAACATCCAGCAGCAATCCAAGGATGTAACAAAAATACAAAATCATATGAACGCATTAAAATGTGACATCACCTTTATCATCTCATTGAAGTCTCTATGGGTCACACTTTTGATGATAAATACTTCCTCAGCTGCAAGTAAAAAAAAAAAAAATATATATATATATATATATATATATAGAGAGAGAGAGAGAGAGAGAGAGAGAGGTAAGAGCCACAATTGATGTTCCACTCCCTAATAGCTACCAGTCAATTTCCATCCACCCGTCTAGGGAAAGGATGAAGGATTTCCTTTCTCGTTTCAACTAAATTACAGTCCTTTGCAATGAGGTTTGCATCTGTTCTGATGCCCACGTCTCACAGGAGCCCAAAAGAAAAAGTAATTTACAGTAAGTATCAAGGGTGAACTTGTAATTTTAAAGGATTGCTTGCCCCACTAATCCTATTAGAAATGAGAAGTGGCCTCCCAATTTTCTGGCAAAGGGCCTTTCACCTTTAACAGGAATTCATTTCCCTGCAAACTCCATCACGCCTCTTTTTCCCATACTTGGAAAAGAAATAAACTTCAATGATTCCTGAGAATAAAAGTACATTGAGAGGTTAATAAGCAAGAATTGGGTTAACAACTTACGGGCCCCTTTCAGAATGTTGATCATGTTGCGAGCAGTGCCTCTAACTCCTAGGCGCAAGGTGCGCTTCCTACCAACGTGCTTGGCATATTTCTGCGTTATACCCATGCGAATAATATGAGATAGTTTTTTAAATAACCACTCAACGGGAAGAAAAAAAGAGTGGAATGCAAAAAGGCTGCAGAAGATAACACAACTATTACAAGATTGACCACATATTGGCATTATATGAATTAATACAAGGGAAATGTGGTATCTACAGCATTAACTCAAATTTGATTCAAGTTCATGAAGGCACCAGTATCAGCATGACCCATTCTCTGACTTTCCAACTAGCATAGAAGATTCTATCATAAAAAGTGATTTACCGAGGCAGATTAGAAAATTACTAGGTACCATGGTTGCTGCAGCATATTACTATGAAAACATCATCTGCTTTGATAACAACCAAAATCTTATTCAATAAAAAATTTCATTTGCTGATTCTCATGGCATGTACTTTGTATTTCACTACTAAAAGCAAAAGTAAAAATTAATCCCCCCTTTCCCCCAACAACAACATGTGGGGTGTAGAGGAAAAAAGTAATGAAGATGATTACACCAGAGGTAAGAAGGCCATAATTTGTGTCAGAAATCCATAGGCAATATAACCAATTCAAAATAAACAATTACAAATTTATTATAAATTCTAGACATTCACCTCATTAACAGGAGCCTCATTATCTCTAATCACTGCATCATGACTGTCAATCTCTTCACCAAACTCTGTCAATAAAAGATCTCCAGAATTTCCAACAACTGCACATCTTTCAAATTGACGGGGATGAAATGGAGGTGTGGCTGGTAAGATAGGACTGAGAAGTTCATCACAAAGAGATTTGTTGTGGCATTTTTTATCTCCCCTGACACAATGTAAAACAGAGACCAGTTTCATGTCAGTTAACCATATAATCTGCAGTTATTGTCAAGATAACTTAAGTAATTATATATATAAATGCATTTTTCATAAAGTCAGAATCATACAATTGGGCTATCCTTTTTGCTGCATAATCAAACCAACCATCTGGGCGAACATCCAGATATTCTCTTGTCAACACTGTCGTAACATTGCGATACTGCAATTATTGACACTCTATTAGACATTATTTCCAAAAACCATGATGCATCCACTGTTAAGAAAGAAGTGGCTTGACCTGTTCCCAGAGTAAAAGTGCTTCACAAATATCATAGTCATACTCTAGCGGTTCCTTCTTCTTGAATTGCACATTATACTGCAGAAAAGAAACACTTCAGAGAGTAGTTCAGAATTTAGCGTATTCACTATTTAAAATTAAAAATAAAAAATAAAAATAAATAAATAAAAGGGGTACAGATCTAACAGATTTACCCATGTGCTGTTTGTGCCCTCAGGATACTTGAGTTTCAATTTGCAGTGATCAATAATATCTACTGTAAGTCCAAGCCCTCTCTTTGCCTACGTGGGTTTCGGCATATTTGTAAGTCAAAAAAAAAGATTCATAATGGACAATAATAATGGAAAAAAGTTTCACATAGTAGACCTAAGGAAAATCCTTAGGTTTTGTCAAAGCAAAAAAGGAAAAATCAGTTTGAAAGCTACTCCCAAAATACATTTAGTATCACTTCCGAATGACTGGAAAAACCTTCAAACAAGAGTGGTATTAGTGTGAATCAAAACCTAACTCAGATTAATTTCTAAAACACCTCAATGAAATGAGGAGGGAAACAGGATGGAGTATCACGGTAATGTCCGATTAAACTACGATAAAGGAACTTAGAAGCCTAGAAGGTTATTGCCATCAACAATCCACCACTATCTGAAATACATTACTTGCCAATCGTAAAAATTACAGATATTTGTCACATTGTGGACCATATCATTTATAATCATCCAGAGGATTAGAGCTAATGCAGCACATTCAATACATCCACATGAACATTATACAATATACAGCAACCCAATTGCTCAAGATCGGCGGAATCGTCTAAAAAAACATAACCAAAATGTCTCAAGGTAATTCTCAAATGGTAATTGCCAGCTAGAGATAGGCTACAACATGCAAAGTATAATACTATTCCAAATCAGTGTTGGAAATTCAAACTAGACAAAAACTTGTGAAGAGGGCTCAAAGTTTACAATCACAAATTACAATGTCTCAAAATTTATAATAACCAAATCATTATTATTTTGGCAACAAATCCATGATATAATGAAGAAAATAAACCCAAAAAAAAAAAAAACAACTCACCACACATTGCTGGACATTGCTTTGAAACTGAGACAGAATCTCAACTTCCAATTTATTCAAAAGTTCTATCTTTCCACCACCTGCACCAAAAACAAAAGCCAAAAAAACCCAGAAAAATTCACAAATTATATCGAAAATTCTATTGATTAAGATAAAAGGGTAGCTAACAAAAACTAAATTAAGGCCAAATTACCGCTGAAGATAGAAGATTGGATGAAGAAGACGAAGAGACAGAAACAAACAAGTAAACCAACTAGATGCATAATAGAATGTCGGTGCTTGCTTTGTGATTGAGCTCTCATCTTTTTTACTTAATTCTAAGATTAACCCAATAAATATTCAGATCATGAGATGCGAAGAAGAATGATTGCTAATGTGAAATTTCTGGAATTTGAACTCAAGATTAAACAGCAGTTGCTCAACAATTTCGAGGGAGTGTTGTTCGGGGGAGGAGAGTGATGTTTGCGGAAACAATGCTACTGACTCAGTGATTTACGCGGTATTCTGATGATCCAAGCAAAATAAAAAAATAGCGTAGATGAATTGTTAAACTTTTCTCCAGATTATAATATGGCAATAAGTAGACATTAATGGTTTACTAAACAAATTTGTAAATAAATTGGCTACATTTCAAGAAAATACAAGATTATCTCTATGATAAAGTTACAAATCGTCAAAGTGAATCACGTGAATATAGAGCTAATCATTAGGCGGGGCGGGGCGGGGCGGATTCGGGCCTGGCCAAAGTTCGGGCCGAAAATGCTTGCCCAAAATCTGGAATTTTCGATCGGGCCTAACGGATTGAGCCGGGAAAAAAAAAACAACTAAAAATGTGTAAAAATGCATCCCCAAGGCCCAAAAAAATTAATGGGCCCAAATTTCATGCCCATGGCCCGCCCAAAATCGGGCCAGCCCTATGTTGATCAGGTCATAATATGGAGTACACTGAGTCAAAATAAGCATTTAATTGATGAAACCTGTGCGATACACGATTTGTTTGTATTTTTTTACAACTTATATTTTTTTATTCCTGTGTTGTGATAAAATTTGTTACTTTATTTATTCGTTGTACATTATATATCATATTAGCTAATATTTTTTATTTATTTATTTTAAAATAAATTGTGAATTTTCTCTCATTCTTTATATATTTAGATGAAATTCCTAATATCAAAGGATAATATTTTATATTTATTAATTTAAACTTTAAAATTTCATTTGCCAATTTAAATGATAAATTATGAACAATTTTTTTTTCTTGAAAAAGAAAAAGGATATACTCCCTCCGCCCGAGGTTATCTGCAACATTTGCCAAAAAACGAATGCTTTTATTATCTGCAACAAATTTTTTTATTTCCTTTTTTGGTAAAGTTTTACCCCATAATTTACTGTTTTACCCTTACTTAAAAAACAAAACATACTTTACAATTAACTAATTACTTATAGTTATCTACTAATAATCTAACCCCCCCCCCCCTAATGATTCCCTCCAAATAAAAACCCCCTCATCTCCCCTATCAATCTCCCAACCACCCCATTGAATGAACTTCATTGATTTTGCCCAAATGTTTCTGCCCAGATTAATTGCTAGGGTCTGGATTTCTCCAGATTTTTTGTTTAAACCTCTTCGCATCCCTCTTTACTCTCATTTGTCTCACACACTCTCTCTCCTGTTCTGCGTAACTTTTTCTTATTCTTCTCTCGGTGAAACCCTAAAATTCCATTTCTTCAGATTTGAGGAAAATCATGAGTAACTTCAACGATCTAATGGAGTCCCCTAAACCAAACACTCCAGAAAGTGAAATTGAGCCATCTTTCACTAGGTACAACTTACAGAGAGGGTCTAGGAAATTAAAACTCGTTCGTCGGTGTTCTTCGTCTTTTTCTCGATTCAAACGTGGCAAAATAGGGGCCAAACTAGTTAAGTACATCTCTAGTGATGAGGAGAAGGATGAGGGTAAGAAGATGTTCGTAGAGAAGAGGGATGTGTTGGTCCATCCTGAGTCTCCTCAGGGTTCCAGTACAAATCGGCCCCAAAAAGCGGCCCAGAAGGAACCGGTGGTGGTTATTGACGTTCCTTCTTCACCGGAGGAGGTCACAAGGGTTTTTCCTGAGACTCCTACTGCTAGGGCCACCCCTGGCTCCAGCAGTGGGAGGAAGAGAGCCAGATCTGTCTTCAGCGACGATTTCAGTATGTGGGACCCTGACTACATGTGCTACCTAAGGGACAAGTACCCTCATGACTTCCCCCCCTCAAACTGAATCTGCAGCGTAACTGTTACTAAACCCTAATTTTGATATCTGTTTTTTTTTGGGGTTTTTGTTTGCCTTGACTGAATAGATCTGTGTTTGTGAGTCCCTTGTTGTGGTTGTTGGTTGATTATGATGCCTGCGTGCTTTATGTTGGAAGTTTGGAAAATTTATTGTAGTGTCAAAAACGGCTTTGTTGTTAACAGATCTTGTTTAATTTTTAATTTTGTTAGATGGTTGTGTCTGTACTTTGGTGGATTATTGATTATGCACTGATGTTGTTGATGGATTCTGGTGGATGGTTTGTATCTTGTGCATGTATTTTGGTCAGATGGTATGTGGGTTGTTGGTGGATTTTTGATGGTGCATTGATGTTGTTGATGGATTCTGGTGACATTTTTAGCATGTTGTACATGTAATCTGGTCATATGGTTTGTGGGTTGTTGGTGGATTATTGATTGTGCATTGATGTTGTTGATGGATTCTGGTCACATTGTTAGCATGTTGTACATGTAATCTGGTCAGATGGTTTGTGGGTTGTTGGTGGATTATTGATTGTGCATTCATGTTGTTGATGGATTCTGGTCACATTGTTAGCATGTTGTACATGTAATCTGGTCAGATGGTTTGTGGGTTGTTGGTGGATTATTGATTGTGCATTCATGTTGTTGATGGATTCTGGTCACATGGTTTGTTAGTTTTTGATGGGTTCTGGTGGAGTCCCTAGTTAGATTTGGACTGTGTTTGTGCATTGGTAATGGCCAAGAGAATGCATGTTTGATAGATGATGACTTATGTTGGATGTGTGGAATCCCTTTTCCATGTTGCCTTATTGTTCTTGCAAGTCAGTGCCTCTTAGTGAAATGAATGAGTCCACACAATGTATCTTCTCTGTCACTTAATTCCAAATGATGAAGGGACTCACTTTGAGTAGGCTTTGTAGGTTTGTTTTGCTCCAACAAGTTCCTTTAAACACTTGTTGTTGAGGTAACAACCTACACAAAGCTACTGAAAAAAAAACACCCTGATGGAATTCATAGTTTTCTATTCATTCTGAAATTCATTGAGTTGCATAAAAAAACTTTCACTTTCACAACTAATACACACAATCTTTCCTTACATGATTGCCTAAAGTAATGCATTTATATCTACCAAAATACACATAACCAAATCATAATAAGCAGTAAAACAAAAACAGATGCTTACTTTACACAAAAAATAGTTTTGAGTTCATATTTGGTTAGGTGTGGAAGTCATGTTGTCTTTGAAAGCTTGTGTTGTGCCTAGTCTGCATCAACCTCTGTATCTAAGTACTCTTCATGTTGTTGATGAATTGGAATAAAAAGTGTGTTGAGGTGTTCAACTGCTTGTTGAATGAGTTCCCTCTCAACTTCTAGAAATTCTGGCAGTTGGCCTAGACTGTCCAACTTTCTCTTCCCCATGTGAGGTGGATTGAAATTGTTTCCCCCTTCTTTTTCTAGAATCATTTTCATAACACTTTGCAAAGTGATCCATGTATACTTGTTCAGTATTGGATCAAACCATTCATAGGCCTCATACACCTTCTCTATTAACTCCTCAATATTAGTTGGAAATGACTGGTATTGCAAGGATTGAATGACCTTGAACAATCCAAGATCCAGTACATTGAGATCTGGAGACTGTGCAGGTTGGAAAATCAATTGTATGTTAAACCCATGTGTTGTATATGCTGCCTTGAACTCTTCATCCCTTGAAATTTGATGTGGTCTGGCATTGTCCCATTGAATGAATATGTCCTTAGACAAACTAGGGTGCCATTGCATGTGTATTGCTGGGATGTTAGTTAACAACATTTTTCTGATTTCTTCTCTGGTTACACTTTGCACAGCCTTTGTTTCCAGAGTCCCTGCATCTCTGTTCTTGCTTTTCTTCTTGGCTATCTGCTGGTAGGTGAATGGAAAAATTCCATAATTACCATCATGTAGCATGTTCCCAATTAAGTCATAAAGGGGCTTCCCAATCATTACCATGAACATTGCCTTAATTTTGTACCTTTTAGACTGCTGACACATGTATGGGTTTTCTTCCTTTGGCAAGAGGTAGAACTGCCTTGTCTCTGGGTTCATGTAGAACCATTTCTCATCTATGTGAATCACTTGTTGCATATCAATGAAAGTTAGATTTCCAACTGGTGGGATTGGGTGAATATGGGCTAATGCCCACTTGAGTCTTGCCACTTTGTGATTTGATGTGAGTGCTGGATGGTTGGCTGTTGTATGTGTTCAGAGTCTGCCCTTTTTCTTCAAGCTGTGAAGGAATCCATGTGATACCTTCAAAGCTGCTGCATAGCTTCTCTCTGTTGTCCTTTTGTATAGAGGCACTGACTGCAAGTACTCATCACTAATAAATTTTGGCTGGGGTCCTGTTTTCCCCAACTTTTTGCTTCTGACATCAATGACATTCCCTTGTGCTATGCTGTCTAGTACAAACTGCCACACCCTTGTTGTTGTGCTTTTGTGTACCCCATACTGTTTTGCCACTGTTGACAAAAACCCCTTGGGTAGTTGTCCCTCATGCATTTGCAAAAGGAACTCATCAATAATTTGGCGTTTCTTTTGCACTGTTAACTGCTTCCTGCTTGTTGCTTGTCCCTCTACTGTTTCCTCTTCTGCATTGCTGTCCCCCTCAGTTTCTTCATCCATGTTGCTTTCATCAGTATTGTACTGAGATGGTCCCTCATGTAGTAGTTGGTCTATATCAAAAAATTCCTGATCAAAGGACTCTTCCATGTGTTGTGTGTCCCTTTCTGTTTCCTTGCACAGATTTGAAGGTTGGTGATGAATTTTTGGCTGATAATGTTTTTTGAAGTCCTGTTGAAACGGAACCCCGTTGCTGCCCAACGTCTAAGGCTAATTGTAATTTAGGCAGTTTAGATATTAACCTGACTTAAATGTAATTTATAGGGTCTTTTGTGAACTAATGGTGGAAGCTTTTGGAACTTGTTGTTGTTGTTGTTGGAACCTAGATGTTGTTTCTGTTGGATTGGTTGAACAATTTGAATGCCTTTTTATAGTAGGCAATTTAAATTTGAAAAGTGGTGTTATTTATTTTTTGGCCAAATTTTTAAAATGAGTCAAATGTTGGATTTTGGTGGGAAAACTAAATTTTAGGGATGAAATTTGTTTCCTCCCCAAAATTTAAATATTGGCAGGCAAAGTTGTAAACAATGTGGGAATCAAAAATCTTGGGAAATAAAAAGGAGGGAACTTGAATTCCCTTCTTTATCCAGCGAAATTCAGAAGGTGGGGGGGATCTTAGTGGTCCCTTAAGTCACCTTTATCCCACTATATAAAACCCACCCAAATTAAAAATTACGTGGGACCCCTTCTTTCCCTCCATTTTCCTCCTTAATTAAACCCACCCAACTACAATTAAAACTCCCTAAAAGCTTTACCTAGGAGTCCGCATTATTGTCCTTTCTTGCACATAACTACGGGCGGAGGGAGTATTAATTTCAATGATTTTTTTCTTATTTTTTGTATTTAATTTAAAACTGTTTTTTTTAATAGAGAAAACTGATATTTTTTTTAATCAAACGTGATTTCATTTTTTTTAAGGAAAAATTCATGGCAATAATCCGACCTTTAGCTCATTCTTTTTTAATAATCCGACCTTTCGATTATTATTTAATAATCCAACCTTTGGGGGTCTTTAATTTTTATTGGTCCCATTTGACTAGAAACCGGTAGAAAAGGTAATTTTTTTTTAAGTTTAATTGACACGTGAATTTGATTTGTCTAAAATTTTTTTTAAAAAAAAAAAAACCCACAGCCCTACCACCACCTTCCCCACCACTCCTGCCACCATTCACACAACACCCCCCCAGCCCTCTCCTCCTCCCTTTCACGCAGCACCCCACAGCCCTGCCACCACCTTCCCCACCACCCCTGCCACCATTCACGCAGCACCCCCCCAGCCCTCTCCTCCTCCCCTTCACGCAGCACACCCCCCCCCTCAGCCCAGAAATCGGCTGGCATCCATCTCACCCACCGCCGACCGAGCCACCCCCAATTACTCCGACCTCCCCTTAACCGTCGCCCCACCCATCCAAACGAACCCTAACCCGCGAAAACCGCAACCAACCTCCACCTTCCCTCACCGCAACCCCTTCCTGACCACCGCAGCCCCGAAACCACCCTTACCATGTTTTCCGGCCCTCATAAACCCTATTCCCCCACCTAACACCACCAAATGGGCTGCTGTGGTGGCATTGAGGGAGCAGGCTGTGCGTGAGGGAGATGCGGGGGCGGGGTTGTTCGATGCTGGTAGGGCAAGAGCAAGGGGAGAGCGAAGGGGAGGGAGGGGGAGAGGGAAGGGGAGGTAGACAGGCGCGTCTGCCGGAGCAAGTACCGGCGACAGGGGGCTGGCCTGGCTGGTGGCTGGGCTGGCTCCCTGGTGGCTTGCTATTTAATTTTTTTTTAATTTTTTTTAATTTTTTTGACCAATCATAGGCCGACACGTGTCATGTAACCTGTTATAACAGGTTACATGACCGGTTGGGACCAATAAAAATTAAAGACCCCCAAAGGTCGGATTATTAAATAATAATCGAAAGGTCGGATTATTTAAAAAGAATGTGCTAAAGGTCGGATTATTGACATGAATTTTTCCTTTTTTTAATTAGTATATTTTTATAAAATATTTTATTATAATCACTTGTCATATTTTCATTATTTTTTTAAATGTCAATTGAACGTGAATTTTATTTTTTTTAAAAGTTTAATAGTATTTTTTTATATATTTCCAATTAAAAAGATAGTATTTTATTTATAATAAAATTTAAATTTTTAATTTTAATATTATGTGGTGCTTTATAATAACAATCCTACGTGGCATAATCCTATACATAACGCTCTAAAAATACTAATCCTACATGGCGCTCTAATAATTTTTCAAAAATCAAAATTATAGGTGGCTCTCTAAAATCTTGGGAAAAAACTTCCCTTTATATACTGATTTCATTTTTTTATTAGTATATTTTTTTAAAATATTTTATTATAATTACTTATCATATTTTCATTATTTTTTTTTTATCTAATATATTTTTTTTAAATATCAATTGAATGTGAATTTCATTTTTTAAGTTTAATAATTTTTTTTTATATATGAAATAAACTAAATTGTTTCTTTTCTCTTAGATAAAATTTCCAATTTAAAAAGATAGTATTTTATTTTTATAATAAGTTTAAATTTTTAATTTTAATCTTATGTGGCGCTTTAAAATAACAATCCTATGTGGCATAATCCCATAAGCAATGCTCTAAAAATACTAATCCTACATGGCACTCTAATAATTTTTTTAAAATAGAAATCCTAGGTGGCTTTCTAAAATCTTGGAAAAAAACTCCCCTTTATATATATTAGATTGTAAAATGGAATAAATTCAAAATAGACATTTATTTTGGGATTAAGGTTTTGATGATTAATTGATGAATATCCTTGATTTTTTGAATATGAATTAACATGACCCTAACTTTTGGAATAACATAGGGATCAAGGAGCTTGGTTTTGAGGATGCCTGATTAATTGATAAACAAATGTTGTTTAGCTAGATTAGAAGTAAAATTGGCCTAATTTAGGGCATAAATGGGTAAAACCGCTAACACCAACAGCTATTTTAGTATTTTACACATAATGGAAATAAAATAAAATTAAATAAAATTAAAAAAAAAAGTGCTAATGGGCTATCTTAACCAAAAGATTAACTTGATAGTCGAAGTCCAGAATCGATTTATCAATCAATAACATAATACTAAAACAAACACTCGGAATGACACGTGTCACGTCCTGGTGCTATTTTTTTTCCCTCCAAAACTCTTCTTTTCTAATTTTTTCTTTATTTGTTTTCGTCAAATCTTCTTAGAGTTATATTTAGCATAATATTATAATATAAACTTCATATTTGACCACCATATTTTTTCATACAACAAAAAAGATTCATGCTATTTATATGATAGCAAATATCTTAAATTTCCATATTCTTATATTAAATATTTTTCATACCTATTACTTCATATTTCGTATATAATATATTATGTCATATCTTTAAATATGAAAATGCATCATCTTTTAATCTTTCGAATCTTTAATATCTATATTAAAAGCAAATCAGAAATGACACGTGTTATGACTTTTTTTTTTCTTTATTTCTTTCTTTTTTTGTCAAATTTTCATGCAATTATATTCTATAATGTTTTTTTTTTCTATTTTGACAATTATATCTAATCCATATAGACCCTATTAGAATATTTTACTTTTTTTTATATACTATAATGTAACACCCTAGGAATTCCTTCCTTTTAAAATACATGTTTTATCCTTTTTAAAACACGAAATAGGAAATTCTAAGACATTACCAGGCCACCACCGTGATAACGGCTAAGGAAAATATCAAAGATACACAGCGGAAGATTTATTTCAAAACCATTCAAAACAAACTAACTTTAAAAGTCAACCAAACGAAAGTAAGAATCAAACCAAAGTCAAACAAAGTCAACCTACAACTTGGAACCATTGTAGGCCCTTTCAAAACCCAAAACCAATATTTAAAAACATTGCATTAGTCCCACAAGCAATATAATAATCAAAGCAATAAAAACATATCATATTCTTATAGACATTAAACATGATTCGCTATTCGCTCTTCACTCATATCCATCATGAATATACTTCATCACCTAAAAAAGCTTCTCTTTACTTTGTCCCCACTACTCGCCATTAGAAATGGGTCGTCGTATGGCCAAGATAAAGATAATTCCAAACAAACATACAAACACACAATCAGCAATGCTGAGTACATAAGTGTAACGAAACACGCTAACATGCTTACATCCTAACATCACACAACTTACCTTGTTGCACCTGTTTACAAGCATAAAACTCATTCAATAGATAGTTGAATTGCTTATTTAATTTGATTACGCATCGAACGAGTTTCCCACCAAATCTCTGCCCCAAATAAATTGAGGTAAACTACTCCGGGAGCGCTAACTGGGTAGGCATAAATGTCACTTACGAGTGACAGACGTCTTGCGCATAAAATAAAAAAGGAAAATACAGTGTCTTGTACTCCGAGTAGAAGTTATGATCAAATAAAGTCACACAA